TTTTTGCTGAAGATTTCGTGCGATATTTTTCATTTTTTCTTTTTTTTTTTGGATATTTGTTGAATTTGGCGAAATTTTGCAGTTGAAATTATTGGTATCTTCTGATTGTTTATTTTACAATTATTAAGGTTCATCCTTGGAATAATTTGCAAAATCTACGTATCGTAAATAAACGAAAAATTTATTTTTAAACTTATATAATTGAACATACCAGAGTGTATAGGACCAAGAAAAATATATGTGAACAAAAATACTTTTGCATTAGAAAAAAAAAAGAGAAAACAAATCGTCATATTATTTTATAGTTAACAGTACAAATTCTGCACAATTGAAGAACATCTTAAATATTCTCCTTTACAAAATCGTAAAATGGAAAAAGGAACAATTTTGTTGCTTTACAGCTTTTACTTACGAAGAAATACTGAATTAAATACTACAAACGTTCAAAACATTTTGAAATTGCAAGATTAAAAGAAAAGCAATTTTGTAATATTCCAAAAACTACAACATTTATCTGCTACATTTATTTTTTGAAGAATGATATCTTTCAAATTAAAGTGTTTGGTACATTTGATGTCAAAATTTACGGCGTTTACGTAACAAACAACAAAATGTTTACGTTAAATTTATTAATCAAGGTGATTAGCAAGCATACGAATATTAGGACAAGCATACGAATATTACGTTCGTTTTTTTCTTTTTCTTTTTTTTTTATGGTTAATTAATCGTGCAGTTTGCGAAGCCCCGTGCCGGTAACCCACTTTTGAGGCCAATAAACGATTTCTTTGGTCCACTTAGAAGGCCAGCGAGCACGCTTGTGAAAGAAGAGCACCGATGAAATTCATAGAAAAACAAATAGTGATCGTCCGTGAATACAAAATACGATTTTCGATTTAGATAATTTGAAACAATTTAGTCCTTCACCGAAAGTTCCGGAAGTTTGGTTGATTTTTTTTTAAAGTGAAATTTACGCGTAAATAAATAAATCCTGGATTGTACATATTATTTTTCTCGTATCTGTCGATTTTAATTTAAATTTTCTAGACTACTTAACCACGTAAACTAAAAAATATTAGAAATTAGACTTCGTCGATAAATTTTGTATATAATATTTCAGTAATTTGCAACGGATGCCCCGATTCATCTTCAAAACTTTCTCCTAAAGGTGAATCGAAGACTAAATTCATTAAAATTTTACACGGAATCAAGCTGAAACGGAATTATAAATTTCGAGTCGTTTGATAATTCTCTTGGGCATATTATTATTAGACATATTGGAAAACGTGCAAGTTTCGAAACGTGCATAATTCGACATCATCGTCGTTGAATTAAATCTACCACGTTGCATCAATTTCACAAATAAAGTAAGAAAAAAAACCTCGACCAGGAAAAATCATAGCTTGTCGTTAGTTAAATGCGTAAATGACTAAAGATTAGAATAGATCTCAGAGTCTGAAATACCGACCAAGAAAGAAAAATCATTGGTTTATCAGCGTACTCGCAGACGAGGTATATGTATATATAATCATTCACTTACCTTGCTCTGAGGATAAAGCAGAGAGTAAAGAGATTTCAACGCTCGCACAAGCGCGAAGCGACGTTTTATACTGCAACGATACCATCGCAGTCGATACTTTTCGATAGATCACTCTGTACTTTTCTTTTCTTATTTTTTTTTTTCTCCTTTATTTTTGTTATTTCTCTTTTGTCATGTTTCCTCCTGGTGACCATCGGATAAGAGTGCCGCGCTACAATGATCAGTGTCATAGGTAGGATAACAGGGAATAGAATATAATCTCGTCGTGATCATAATTGGTAATCATAATAACCGTGGACAATAATTCATAATGGCGGTAATAATGGCGAGAATCATATCGTAATGATCAATAGTTCGAGTCGTTGACTGTAAAATTGGCTCGATTGTATTGCTCCCCGAATTTCGAAGGCGTTTCAAGATACTCAGCCCGGTATCCTGAATCTATTTTCTGTAATCTGCAAATATATTATAATATGGCACTAAGCTTCTCTAATTTCTCAACTCTCGTGCTCTTTTCTCTTTCTTTCTTTCTTTCTTTCGCTTTTTGTCTCCCTTTCTCTCTCACACACACACACATACACACACACACACTCTCTCTCTCTCTCTTTCTTTCTCTCTTTCGTTCGATCGTCGACAATACGTTCACGCTTTTTCATTACGACAGTTTCTTTCTTTTTTTTTTTTCAGTTTTTTTTCTGTTTCTTTTGCTTCTTCCTTTTCTTTTGTATTTTTATTTTACAATCGATGTTGCCTCGCCATCATGGCATGACGTCGTTTTGCAACATGCCAACAGAACGATCACGAATGCTTGGTGCAACGGTTATCCTTGCGAATTACCTTTGATTTCGATCCGTGCTTCGATAAGAAAAGCGATTGCCAACGTGAGTCGAGACAGCATATACGTACACTGATTGGTCAACAGTTAGACGCAGAGCCAATGATTATTATTAATGGAAGTTGGAAAATTTTCAAGTTTAAAATTTCACTGGCAATTGGAGGATTTTTAAAGTTTAAAATTTTTAAGATTAACCTTCCCTGAACTTACCGAAATATTAAACTTAGGGATTTTTTCGAGCTGCAGAATTTCAGAGTTTCTTTCTTTGGATACTCTAAAGTTTTAAACCTTCGAATTCTTCAGCATTCGAGTCTTCCGAAATCTTTCGTGCATTAAAATTCTCTAAAACTCTCTAAATTTCCAAGCTCCGAAATTTCCAAATATTTAATCCGAAGTTATTCGAGTTATTTCGCCGAAATGGCGAAAAGTCACGACTTTCCCACAAAAGGGAACACAATCTTGAGAAACCGGACGAGATGTTCAATAAATTAGGATGAACTTATCGCGATACTGCTTACAGCCGACAAGCGTACGTATACGCATGTGTGTGTACACGTACATGTGTATGCATATATATAAACAGGTGTTTGTTATTTACGAGCAACGTACGACTCAACGTTCCCACGATTCTTTTACTATTTCATTGACTATCTTGCTAGGACGTGGCCTCGATATCTCAATTCGATATCGGTTGCATCGAAATCAAAAGCAATGAACACAGCTAGCTTTTACGGTGCATACGCTGACAGATAGATATCTACAGGGTGATCCGTTTCAAATGGATTTCGCGCACTAGACGAAAGTCAGAAACTTGGAAATTAATGCCGATGCAATAATAATCACGAGTCGTATCGGTGTAATTAGTAATTGATTCGTTGAACTAACAGAAGAAAAATTGGAAGAATTGGAATTATGATTGAACAACGATCGGACGAATAATAAATTAAATTAAGACGTCTCGAAATTAATTACAATGAAGTTTGCTACAAAATTTACCACGTGAGTCTTTTGTCCAATGTTTTTATTTTTAAATAGAGAGGGGAATTTAATTTCTTCACTTTCTCAGATTTTCACCTTTCGTTGAATTAAATCACATCTTTTTGTCTTTGGGAAAATCCATGATTTTTGTTTAACATTTCATCGCTTGGATTCCTTGCGCAATAATTTATCAATCAATATTATATATATATATATAATGTATTTTATATAGTATATAATAAATAAATTATATATTATAAAGGCAAATCACAAGTTACAGATTGCACGTTTCCCTCTCTTTTATAATTTTATAAATTCACGTGGAATGGAATAATTTGCAATGTTACGAATCAAATAGAATAATTTGTGATTTTGTAATACTTCACACGTGAATTTAATAACTAACAACTTGCGACTCGTAATTCACCGAATTTCGCCAATAATCACCACATCCAATTGTGCATGATGAATGATCCGTTTATTCATCATTCGAAAATGAATCACCCTATATGTACACTTTGACGCAACTAACATTAAAACGTTCGCGTGCTGTATGAGGCAAGTGAAATTCTATGCCGCTCGAATCGAATCAAACACTCGAATATCGAGTTCAAAAGAAAATCGAATCACCTTAAGCTCGATATTCATTCCTGAAATAAATTCGAGCGGGAACGTTCGCGCGAAATCGGCCATCGCGACCATAAATGTCTCGCTACGCTCTCTTAATCCTGCTGTTCCCCTTGGGTCGGTTATAAAATAAATTATTATTCTTTAACAGACGCTTTCAAAATATTTGATTTTCATCCTCGGCGAACGCTAATTTTTCTAATTAATCCTATTGATCAAATATTTGATTTCATTTTTATATTTTACATTTTCGAAAATCAATTGAAGTGAAAAGATTCGACTCGAATAATTTCACTAGAACCAATAATTTTCAATAGCTGGTGTTGGACTTTGTAAAAATCTTTCCAAATCGTATCTATTTCACGAAAACCTTTTTGAACTTTTTATTAATCGAGTACTAATTGAGAATAAAAAATTCTATGCACGATTTCTTTTCTCAAGTACAGTTATTATGCAAGATCGACTTGACTGTTAGATTCCAGAATTATTGGTTCGGTTATTAGGTTAACGAGACTCAGACGTAACAATTTCATTTCGCATTTGACATTTTCCTTAAAAAAAAAACGTGATTCAACGGATCAACCAGTTGAGAGTTAATTTGAATATTCCACTCTTCTTATAAATAAACCATGACAAAAAAGGAAACATTCAACGATACACGATGATCAAAAAAAAAAAAAAAAAAAAAATATCGAAGAGAACAGCAGGGTTAGAAACCCTCTCGTTCTCCCTAATTTCCACGTAATACTTCTATACTGAATTTCTCAAGCTTTTTCTTCGCTCATTCGGAGATCTCTACGCTAACGACTAGGATAATAGGATAAATTGAACTATACGCGATCAACAAGCCAGTCTAACCTCTCAACAAATCCATCGTCGTCTCTCTTCCAACGATCCCTTTAACATTTCTCTCCTCTCTTCTTTTTCTTTTTCTTTTTCCTTGGAAAAGATCGCCACGTCGTTAAAAATGCAACGAGGCTCAATCGTGTTTCGTTTCATCGAACCCACGGGTTTTTATTTCTCTTTTTTTTTTTTTTCTTTTCAAGTTAGATTAGGGTTCTTTGTTAGATCACTCGATCACGAAGGAAGTTAGAATTTGTTTCTTTCTTTTCTTTTGTTTCCTCGAACGAACGTTCCGATGTTAATTCCTCGCGTTTTGTTTTTCTCTGTTTGTTACGCGTTTCGACAATGTTCGATACGGTCGGTCGTGCGCGATCGTTCGCTAGCCTAAGTCCCTAAGTCGCCTAACTTAAACGTAAGTGATACGAAACGTACAAGCGAGATATCTCTGTTCGTATGAAGACACGGTTGGAATTGGCCTGGAAAGAGGTGGGAACTCCTGAAAACATATCGATCGATCTCTCTGACATTTTTCGGTTTTCCTCCTTTCTCCGGAGCTTGCAGAATTATTCTAGATTTATGAATTTACTCGAGATATTTCTTTCTTTCCTTTTTTTTTTTTTATTAACCATTCATATAACCATTTCACAAATGTAAATTCTCTTTTAGGATCTATTTTAATAACGCGAGCAAGATCAACTGAAACTGTTTAAATTTTCTAGTTTCGTTAAATCTTTTTCTTCTCTTTTTTTTCATTAAGTATCTTTGATATTTTTTTTAATAATTGCTAGAGTATTCTATTTTCGAATATTTACCTCCTACATGATAAATTATACATACCTTCGGCCTCCAAATATTTTCATTCGATTTTATCGAATATATTCATACAGCGCTGTGTCTTTAGATTCATGTTTGCTAGTTTACTAGTTTTCAAGGGATATATTAGAGAGATTTCCTTAGTAACATCTCTCGAGGTTATTCGTCCTAATTTCTTTCCTTGAATTTACCTTCGATTTAATCTGTTTCTTATTTTATTCAAAATCCGCAAAATTCTTCTTTGTCAACGGAAGTATATTAAACAGCTTCTCTATATTAATAAAAATTGACAGAGAAACAGATTTTAACAGAGAAAACGTTTCATTGTCTTCATGTTTCTTTTTTTTTTTTTCTTTTTCTTCAAAAAGTCGATTTTTCTAAGTATAAATTTTCCACGAGTTTCAACCTCTTTCGCGAACCTCGTTTCACCGTGATACACGTCCACGTGGCTATTACAATATATATAATATAATATCGCTCTAACTGCATAAATACTCTGTGTTTATTAAGTCTAATAAGTGTATATAACGGGCCTCGCGAAGTATTTCTATCGACTACTCGGATGTTGAACCGTGGCAAACGAAATCTTTCGGGATCGTCGATAAATCATCGCGCAGACGTATCAATTTTTTTTATATTAGATAATTATCGAGACAGTGTGTTTCTTTTTCTCATCTTTTTCTTTTCTTTTTCTCTATAAAATCGCGTGTGAGACACTCGAAATGTCTAGATCTGAAATATCCTTCGATCTGAACACGATTTGAAATGTTCGAATCGTGTCACAGATTCAAGATATATATATATTTATAATATATATGTATACCGTCGTACGTATAATTGCATTTCCCTTTGTTCCTTCCTCTAGAATTAGCGTTACTTATACGGTAAATATACGGTATTTATAGTTACTTTGGTATAGTCAGTTATATCACACTAGAGTCCGTGGTTTCTGGTGGGAATTCTTGCTTTCCGAGTTCCGCCTGCAGAACCCTGGACAAATTATTACATTATAATAATGATTACTTACAATTATTATGTTATAAAATTTTTCACACAAGTACTTGTAGATATAATAATGTACATTTGATTATATTATGTATATTATATAATATAAAATATAAATATAAATATTAAAAATATTATATTAATATTATATTGATATTATATAAATATTAAAAATATTATATAATATAAAATATAAATATATAAAATATTATATAACATAAAACTGATAAATGTGCAATTTTTCAGAAATTCCTTCCGAGTATATCTTTCATTTTATCATGCATCGTATATTTGTCATTTCCCTGCGAACTGTATAAATATCATTTTGCCAGTCATTTTATAACAGATTTTATAATAATTTTCTGACTGACATAAATGTCAATCAACAACGTAAAGAGAAATAAGTTTCATTCATTGGAAAATAGAACTTTGAATGTATTCGCGGCTTTTATATATTGTTGAGAGTAATATGGTTAAAGTGAATCGATGTTTGTAAAATACGTACCTGTCATTGCTTAGCGGATTTGAACCTAGCCAGCTTCAATTGCACCGGGTTGGAAACTTTCACGTGGACAGCGATATCCTCCACGGGAGCTTCGCGAACGTCCTGGCCGCCGACAGCCACCACTCGGTCGCCCTTGCAGATCTTCCCACTTTCCAAAGCGCTGCCACCGGGCAACTGAACAAGAACCGCGCAGTTTCAACAAATTTTCATTCTCCGTGCAAGTGGATTTGTAATAAAAAGAAATTACGGGAGAGTGGATTTGTAATAAAAAAAAAAAAAAAAAATTACGGGAGATTGATGAAAAAGCAGAAACAGTCCAGTACAATGTAAACGTGTATTAAAATATTTCTAACCCTCATCCCTCCCTTGGTTTCCCAATTTGATTCGTCCCTTGACGAATTAATAATAAACTGACGTTCAAATTGCGAAAACCTACGATGAAAGGATAAATAATTAAATTTTCAAATTAGTTGCAAATTAAAATTACAAAATAAATATAAATGTATATAAAATTTATTAATAATAATATATATAAAATTATATATAAATATATTATATATCTATATATATAATAAAATAATTATATATATAAAATATGTTAATAATAATATATATAGTTATATATATATATAATAAATAATAGAAATATAAAATAATTGTATATATATAGAATAAATAATTAAATTTACAAATTAGTTGCAAATTAAAATAAATAATGTATATAAAATATATTAATAATAATATATATAAAATTATATATAAATATATTATATATATAATAAATAATAAAAATATAAAATAATTATATATATATAAAATATGTTAATAATAATATATATAAAATTATATATATCTATATATATAATAAAGTAATTATATATAAAATATATTAATAATAATATATATAAAATTATATATATATCTATATATATAATAAAGTAATTATATATATAATATATTAATAATAATATATATAAAATTATATATAAATATATAATAATATATATAAAATAAAAATCACAAAATACAAAATAAATTAAATTTCTAGGCACAATCTATTCTCGTTGGATATACAGATATCCAATTCCACGATCTGTTCAACACACTTTACACTCATTCCATGAGAAAATTGTGACAAATTGACAAACGAAGGGACGAAAGAATAGTTAATTATTCTGAAAAATACGAGGGAACGTACCAAGTCTGACACGTATGCTCCTTTTCCACTCTTGTATCCCGTCAAGCAGAGGCCAGCTCCTTTGCCCGACTTCTTCTGTAATTCAACCTCGATTATCTCTTCACCTTTGTCAGATGGGGGTCGATGCACCAACATTGTGATCTGCGAATGAAAAGTCACTGTGAATTCCAATGTTCGCGAGGGGCGAACTGTTCTGTGAAGAATTGGAGGCACAGGAATCGGACGTACAGTTCCTGAAGCCTTCAATACCGCAGCGTGAGCTTGATCGTGCTCCATGTCTTTGAAGCTTTGAGAACACATGTCGAGTATCTGATCACCAGGCTGCAGTCGTCCGTCCTTGTGGGCCGCTCCGTCCGGGAACACCTCGACGATGAACACCCCTTTCTGAAATCGAGAAACTCAAGCCGATCACCTTGCAATTTTTATTCACTCGAACGAGCCACCGATCTAAAATCTTTGAATTCTCCAGTTCTCGAATTTGGAAATTGTCTTCAACTTATATTGTATATACTCTTCCATCGTTATTTGTGAATTCAATTTCTGGAGTACTTTGAATACCAGAGTCATGCGACAAAAAATACCAAAGTGCAGTTTACAATTTATAATCAGTTTGCAATTTATAATCAGAATAGAAAGGTTCACGTATTCTTTGAAATTCTGGTGTAACGAATTAGACTCCAAATCTATTATAATAATCTAATTTGAACTAATGACATTAAATTTCGTCACTTTGTTACACAAAATTAGTTTTGATATCATTTGGATTCTAGCTGTACTTAATTGTATTCCAGTCGATACAAAAATATAATATAATGAATTAAATTTCTGGAGTACTTTGAATACCAGAGTCATGTGACAAAAAATGCCAAAGTGCAGTTTACAATTTAATCAGAATAGAAAGGTTCACGTATTCTTTGAAATTCTGGTGTAACGAATTAGACTCCAAATTTACTGTAACAATTTAATTTGAACTAATGACATTAAACTGCGTCACTTTGTTACACAAAATTAGTTTTGATATCATTTGGATTCTAGCTGTACTTAATTGTATTCCAGTCTATACAAAAATATAATGAATTCAATTTCTGGAGTACTTTGAATACCAGAGTCATGTGACAAAAAATACCAAAGTGCAGTTTACAATTTATAATCAGAATAGAAAGGTTCATGTATTCTTTGAAATTCTGGTGTAACGAATTAGACTCCAAATTTACTATAATAATCTAATTTGAACTAATGACATTAAATTACACAAAATTAGTTTTGATATCATTTGGATTTTAGTGATACTTAATTGTATTCCAGTCGGTACAAAAATATGATTGAATAGTAAATTTCAACAAATATTTGTTCGTGTTAATAATTGTATAATAGAACAACGAACAGCGTTAATAAAAAGAAAATATCTGTTGAAGCGATTGTTTTTAAGGATTTCAAATGAAGTTTACCAGTGGTGTGTCGGAACCACCAGCTACAATGAAGCCAATCGCTTTGTCCTTATCTTTCTGAAACTCTATCGTCGTATCCCTGCCAGAAATAATCTTGCAGTCTTTTGGATCTTGCGGTCCTTCTGGTTCCGGTGGCTTTTCAGGCTCCTTTGGTGCTACGAATTTCAGTTGAAATTAGTCTCAGATTTGGATATCGATTTTGAATCGACGCTTCAGGAAGAAACATTTACCTTCAGGTTCGGGAATAATGCCTTTCGCTCTGTCTTCTTCTTCTTTCGCCACTTTACTTTGATTCGGATTGCATACTGTAAGCGTAACGACGCCCTCTGCTTTCTTCAGAAGATTCGTGGCCTGCGAAAAAAGGGCACAATGTGTTTCTTTTTCTGAAATTTAACTAATTGTCTCTCCTCTGGTTGTAAAATTCCAGAGATTCTCAGCTCTTAAGATTCCGAGATTGTAAGATTTAAAAACTCTATGATTCTCGGATTCTAAGGTTCTAAAATTTTAAGATTGCAAGATTCTAGGGGTTCTGGGATTCCAAAATTCTAAGATTCTGAGATCCTGGGATCCTAAAATTCTAAGACCTTGAAATTCTAAAATTACAAAAGATTTGAAAGATTTAAAAATTCTAAGATTCTATGATTGTATGATTTTAGAACTTTACGATTCTAAAATTCCAAGATTCTAGGATTTTAGGATCCTAAAATTTTAAAATTACAAAAGATTTGGAAGATTTAAAAGTTCCAAGATTCTATGATTGCATGATTCTAAAATTTTAAGATTCTACAATTCTAGGATCCTAAAATCTTAGAATCTAAGACCTCAAAATTCTAAAATTCTAAAATTCTAAAATTCTAAAATTCTAAAATTCTAAAATTCTAAAATTCTAAAATTCTAAAATTCTAAAATTCTAAAATTCTAAAATTCTAAAATTCTAAAGTTCTAAAGTTCTAAAATTCTAAAATTCTAAAATTCTAAAATTCTAAAGTTCTAAAGTTCTAAAGTTCTAAAGTTCTAAAATTCTAAAATTCTAAAATTCTAAAATTCTAAAATTCTAAGTTACGAAATCCCAAAATTCCAAGATTACAAGATTTTAAGACTCTAAGATTCTAACATTCTGAGATCTTAAAATTCCACGTTTCTGAGATTCCAAAATTCTAATTTCAAAATTCTCAAATTCTCAAATTCTAAGATCTGAAACTCCGATAAGACGTTTAATGTCAACAGATACAATTCTGAATTGTTAGAAACAAGAATGACCCCAAGAATGACCCAAGAGAGAGAGACGTCAGTGATACAGCAGAAATTACTACAGTCGACAGTGTCTCAATTATTTAACAAACTGAACGGTCGTTACCTCGTCGTAAGTCGAGCCCAGCAGACAGTCGAGGTTAACAGCGAGGATCATGTCACCCACTTGCAAGCCAGCCTGCAACGTACGAAACGAAATGCAACGTATCGAACGAAATGCAACGTACATGAACTTACAATAGACTGCATGCACTTATAACAGCTCCGATTGTAATTACAATACCGAATAATTGCCATTCGCGGTACACGTGAATGCACGACAGAATGCACGAAATGAAAGATAGAGAAGGGATTACCCAATTACCTGTTCTGCAGCACTGCCTTCTTGAATGTCTGAGATGAATATACCTTGGCCGACTTCCGCGTGTTTTCCCTCGATGATCATTATACCCAGTCCGTATTGGCCCTAAATGTCAAAAAAATCGAGACAATGATCGAAATGTGACAGTGGTGATGAACTTCTCGAATTTGAACTTGCCTTTTTCACTGGTATGTTGCGTACTCCTTTGTACTGACTGAACATGTCAGACTGTAACACGGAGAGACAATAAATTTCTTCATTTCCAGTCGATTGATTTATTAATTAATAACCGAGAGAAGAAGATTGATTATGTAGATAATAATTTAGATACTTTAATCTGTTTTTTTTTTTTAACTGATCAATTGATTTATTAATTAATCGAGGGAGAAAGATGTGGAAGATTTTATTATGTAGATATATATTTGAACTTTTCTTTCATTTAAATTCAATGGACGGATAATAAGACAAGGAGATATTTTTTTCAACTTGACTTTGTTGCTTGATTGTTCGTAACATGTGATCTACTATTTCTTAATTTTTCTTCGAAGAATTCTGCGCTTTAAAAAAAAATTCCTATTATCTTCATCTAGTCATATGGTGGTGTTTGTTGCGATTCTCGAAATTGGGACTTACATCTTCCAGCGTTGGAGGGAACTGAACGATGGGTTTAACGGCGAGATCGTCAATGGCAGCAGTCCTCCTGCACACCGAATTACTCGATTAATTTCACTCTGGCCAAGTTTGTAAATTCGAATCATAGACTGAGGGTAGAATCTGTGTCGACTTTGTACAATGAAATCGTACAGATGCAAAGAGTATCTTAAGCGTACCTTAAAACGACGATTTTGAAACACGTCCCAGCCATTCCTTTGATCATGGCAGACGCATTCAAGTGGCATCGTCCTTGCAGAACGCAGCCGTTCACCTGAGAACAGAATTTCAGCCAGAAAATTGTGACAAAAGTATGGAAATATATAAATATATAATATATTTGTATTACAAAATATAAATATATAATATTTATATAATATTTATGTTATATAAATAATAAATATTATATTATATAATATTTATATTATAGAATATAAATATTAAAATAATTATATATATTTTATTTTATAACTTATGTTATAAATATAAAATATAAAATTATTCTATATTTTAAAATATATAATTAGTTAATATTTATTTTATAAAATATAAAATTATATAATATTTATGTTATATAAATAATAAATATTATATTATATAATATTTATATTATAAAATATAAAATTATTATATAATATTTATATTATAAAATGTATAATTTATTATTTAATATTTATGTTATAAAATATAAATCTACATCAAAGAAGTGAATTGAAAAGAGACGAAGCAAGAAAATATTTCCACTCTGTCAGACTTTCCTCACTCGAATCTCTGTTCTTCGACTATTTTGATATTCGAATGTTGTGTCACTGAAACTACTAGTGATTTTCCAGTTATCAGCAAGTTATCATACTGTCGAGCCGAGAATAGTCGAAATCGATGCGGCGACGAGAAATCGGCGATGAAAATTCGCGACATGATCTCGAATCAGCAGGGTGATTCACCCGGAAAATGTAGGTTTCGAGGTTTCGTCTGTGAGATAATCGGGTTTGAACGTTTGCCAGGTACACGTGCGCTCGACTAAAAATTCAACCGACTCGTCTTCCCGCGATTTATCACTCTCCGTCGCGGTTCCGTTTGTATACATTGACGGTGACGGCCGGAAATTTCGCAAAGCAACACTTGCTGGACCATTAACCGGCTGACGCCGGCTGATCTTGGCCCAATTCTGTGGTTTCATTCACGGTGTGCCGACAATGTTCCTTTGGCCGGTTCGATAAATATTTTTTGGAACGAACGGCATTTGATTATTACTGAGCCAGTTCGACTGAATTTGAAGAATTGAAAGAAAAATGTAAGGTCACATTGTTTCGAATGTTGTTCCGCGAATTGTACGTAATTCGTCGAGTTTCCAAAAGATTCGAGAACAGTGGAAATTTTATCGAAACATCTTTCAGACATTTCATTAATTATATTTTAACCACAATTTCAATCTCTATTCTCATTCAATATTCTGCTTTATTGCAACGAACATTATTAAAAGATTTCGTAGACATTTTGTGACTATATTTTGACTTCAAAATCTATCTCGATTTGGAAATGAAATAATTTCATAAACTACGTTGGAGATACTTCGTCTAAAATATTCTAATTTCTATATTTCTTTTTTTTTTTTTGTCTCATAAAGTATTATATAAATATTATATAAAATTATATCAAATTTATATTATGTTAATGCTAATGTTAATGTTGACAAATTTTACGCGATCTATCTTAGATTTTAACAGAAGAAAGAAAAAATGGAAAATTTATAACGAAGTATATGATAAAGTGAAAAACAGCGGCCGTACCTCAAGTATTTCGTCTCCGACCGAAATCTCGCCAGTTTTGTGAGCTGCCCCTTTTGGATTAAGGCCACAAACGAACACTGCCATTCGATTTCGATCCCTGTGCCCGGCCAATGAAATACCTAAACCGCGCCTGTCTTTCTCCACCTTTACTAGTATCACCTTGTGCCCCAGGGAGTGATATTTCTTCTGTACTTTCACTGTAATAAAAATCGCAACATTGATGATGATTAACAGAGAACGAAAGAATAAAAAAAATAATAACAATATACAAAATAATTAAATCAACGTCAGCAATGATAACAATTGACTCAATATTACATGTTCTTTTAATCAACATATTAATCAATCGAAATTAATATATTCATTATATATTAATATTTAATATTAATTATATTTAAATTATATTTAAATCAACATTAGCAATGATAACAATTAACTCAGTATTATGTTTTTTTAATTAACATATTAATTAATCAAAATCAATATATTAATTATATATTAATATTTAACATTAATAATATACTAATATTTAGTACTAATTATATATTAATATTTAATATTAATTATATTTAAATCAATATTAGCAATAATAACAATTGACTCAATATTATGTTCTTTTAATCAACATATTAATCAATCAAAATCAATATATTAATTATATATTAATGTATAATTAATACTAAATATTAATATATAATCAATATTAAATATTAATTATATTTAAATCAATATTAGCAATAATAACAATTGACTCAATATTATGTTCTTTTAATCAACATATTAATTAATCAAAATCAATATATTAATTATATATAAATATTTAATATTAAGTACTAATATATTAATATATTATTAAGTAATAATATATTAATGCTAATACTATTTACTAGCACTAAATACTAAAAAAACTAATACTAAATACTATTAAGTATTAATACTAAATATTATTAAGTATTAAGTATTAATGATATATTGAGTATTAATTATATATTAATATTTAACATTAAATATATTTAAATCAATATTAGCAATAATAACAATTGACTCAATATTATGCTCTTTTAATCAACATATTAATTAATCAAAATCAATATATTAATTATATATAAATATTTAATATTAAGTACTAATATATTAATACTAATACTATTTACTAGTACTAAATACTAAAAAAACCAATACTAAATACTATTAGTAGTATTAATACTAAATATTATTAAGTATTAATGATACATTAATATTGAGTATTAATTATATATTAATATTGAATAATAACTATATTTAAATCAATATTAGCAATAATATCGATTGATTCAATGTCGATGTAAACATTAGTAAAACATCAACAGTTGGCAAATATCGGCTTGTAAATAAAATTTGTACGTACTGTTAGTATAACCGAACTCATCCTCGTTCTCCGGGTCCGCTTCGATCTCCGCTTTGGAACGCTTCACATTTCCGGCACTTTTCCTCGATATCTGCAACGAGTTCATCCAAATGCTCAATTTTGAGCGAGGAAAAAGTTTTAAATATGTGTTGAACGTGTAGTTCTCAATTAAACCTCACCTCCATGCCAGCCTTCGTGTAAACGTTGCCCTCGAGCTCGCGCGTGTCCTCCTCGGAGCTCTCGTCGGAGGAATACTTCCGTCTTGGCGGCTCTTCCGGTTTCGATGCATTGTCCTCTTTCTCCTCGCTCACCTCGCGCAGTATGCCCGGATTGGATGGCGGTGACGGCGCCTTCTTGCGAATAGACTTTTTCATGGAGGATCTAAGAATTGAGTTCGACAATCGTTTCGTTCAGTTTTTCAATCGTCCGAGAAACGACGAGGAAGAAGAATGATATCTTTGATATCGGCCTTTGATACGAACTCTCTTGACAATTTACTCTCTCGAAAATTTCATTCGGATTTCTAGCTAGGAAAGCTACTCGCGTTGGAAGTGTTGAATCTAGAAAATTATTTGTGCAGAGAGCGTGCACATGCATCACGACGAATAAGTTGTTTAATGTTTTGATGAATTTAACGTGATAACTTATAATAATAATTATCATTGTGATATAATTAAAATAATTTTCGAAAGTACACACATCGAATGAATCATTGTACCGGATGGAGGTCTCTAAAGTAAATTAATTTAAAGTAAACTACCTTCGCGTGGTGGGTCCCGCGCCATCTGAAGCTCTTGTACTCTGTCTCCTGAAATCTGATCGTGAACTACTTTGCTTCTCCCCGTCTTCGATACCTCCCTGTAAGAACACCGAAAAAAGATCCGGAAAATACAATCCGAAATGAAAGAGAAACTCTAGTAAAGTAACTTCGGCCGTCAGAGATGAAAGCAGAAAAGAAATTTTTCCTTTCAAATGGTGAAAAAGGACGAAAGATATGGAACGTATTACATACAGAGAAATGATGAAACTGCGATATCGCGCAAATAAAGTTCCAATGGAAATTAAAGGGAAACAATTTTTTTCCTTTCTCTTTGCGACTCTGGAAAAAATAACGGACGTATTATATGCTGCTTTCCGAACGTTCGCAAACACTCTTCACCAAGTTGAGGAATTGAGAAAAGTTCGATTTGAAAACTTGTTCCGCCTATTATAATAATATATTAATATATTATTATTAAGTACCAATATATTAATATATTATTATTAAGTACTAATATGTTAATATATTATTATTAAGTACTAATATACTAATATATTATTATTAAGTACTAATATATTAATATATTAAGTAATAAAATACTATTTATTAATACTAAATATCATTAAGTATTAAGTGTTAATAATATTTAGTATTAATTATATATTAATATTTAATATTAATTATATTTATATAAATATTAGCAATAATATCGATTGACTCAATGCTGATGTAAACATTAATAAAACATCAACAGTTGGTAAATATACTTGTAAATAAGATTTACATACTGTTTTGCAATTACGTACAAATTACGTAGATGTTTATCGAAATTTTGGGAAGATCAATTGCCAGGAAGATAGAACTTTCCGAAGAGAAGTAAGTTCACGAGTAATTTACGGAAATTTTTTCAACTAGCGAACTCGAATTTCACCTCTTGCGCTGGAACGTCGAGTATCTTTTGTTCCAAATTGCAACATTTTCTCAGTTTTATGTATATTGAGTATAATCCATACAAAACAACTGATAAGTTTATTATTTCTATCGAGTGATATCGTACCGACGAGTTCGAAAGGAACAGAAAGCGACGGATTACTGTATACGGCTCGGTCACTCGTTATGGTCCGCGCAACCAGTTGTCAGCGCAAGGGATTAATGAAAAATGTTACAGCAATAAAGAGAAACGAAGATGAAATCTGCACAAATCCGAAAGAAAAGAATTCTAAATGTTAGAAAGGGGGAAAAAAAAAAAGAAAAAATAGAAACCACGTAGCTTCGCAACTAAAAAAATTTTATCATGTACCATGTACCGTAACAAGCATCTAAACAACTTCAAATACAATAAACTGGTCAGGAAGAGAAAATCTTGAAAACGTTCACATTGATATCCAGAAAATATTACATCGCCCGAAACAAATTTCAAAAATTAAAAACAAAAAAGAAAAACGAGAAACCACGTAGCTTCGCAAGTTAGGCAACTAAAAAAATTCTATCATGTATTATGTACCGTAACAAGCATCTAAACAACTTCAAATACAATAAACTGGTCAGGAAGAGAAAATCTTGGAAACGTTCACGTCGACATCCAGAAAATGATTACACCGCCCGAAACAAATTTCAGAAATTAAAAACAAAAAAGAAAAACGAGAAACCACGTAGCTTCGCAAGTTAGGCAACTAAAAAAATTCTATCATGTATTATGTACCGTAACAAGCATCTAAACAACTTCAAATACAATAAACTGGTCAGGAAGAGAAAATCTTGGAAACGTTCACGTCGACATCCAGAAAATGATTACACCGCCCGAAACAAATTTCAGAAATTAAAAACAAAAAAGAAAAACGAGAAACCACGTAGCTTCGCAAGTTAGGCAACTAAAAAAATTCTATCATGTATTATGTACCGTAACAAGCATCTAAACAACTTCAAATACAATAAACTGGTCAGGAAGAGAAAATCTTGGAAACGTTCACGTCGACATCCAGAAAATATTACACCGCCCGAAACAAATTTCAAAAGTTAAAAACAAAAAAGAGAAAAAAGGAACGACGTTGCGAGAAATGAAACATATTAAATATTAAATATTAGCAATTACTCTCTTTCTCTCTCTCACTCTCTCTATATCTCGAAAGAAAAAAAAAAAAAAAAAAAGGAAAACATCAAAAAGACGACGCTCACGCGAGCAATTTATTTTCAAGATCACGATCAACGCTCGTCAAAACAAACCACAGTGCACCGCTAATAAACGCCGAAGTTCTAGGCGAAACACGCTCGGTGCCGCCAGCCAACTATTATAGAACAAACTTCGAATTCTCCTATCAATTGCAATTATAAACAAGCGCTCGATCGATCGAATCACCAACCGAGAATACGTAACGGCCGTTACATTAATTCCGAGAAACGATCAAACAACGTGCGAAGAACGACGCGAGAGAGAGAGAAGATTGTCTAAAATTGGTAGCACGGGTGAGCAGGCGTTCGCTCGCTCGCTCGTTCGTTCGTTCGTTCGACCCTAACATTTCGAGCGGGACGCATCGCGAAATAGACTGACGACCGAGGATCCTCCCGTTTTCACGCTCCCCCTCGTTGCCCCAAGTTATAACACAATCGATTCCGTTGACCGAATTAATTTACATCGGGCACAATCGAACAGCGGCCCGTCTGTTCCCCACGCTTTTCTTTTTTATTTTTTTTTTCATTTTTTTTTTTTTTTTTATTTCCCATACCTCTCGATCACGATCAACCATCCTTTTTCCTTCGGTGTTTTCATTGACTTTTCTCTTTCTCTCTCTCTCTCTCTCTCTCTCTCGGTATTAATTGGTCACTGCAATCGACATTTGCAAAAACACGTTTGCACGTTGTTTGTTTGAAAATGTCCCCCGTGTTTTTATAATTATTTTACGATTAAATTTCGAAACGATGGATTTCCGTGGATTTAGGAATCGTGAAAATGCAATACAATAATAGGCAAATGAGAAAAATATGCAAAAACGTCGCTTAATATTTAATAAATGAAATTTAATAAATGAAATAATTGTCAATTTAAGTTTCATTCTTTTTTTTTAAATTATGCGTGTAAAAATCCCCAGTCTGTAATTGTTTTCCATAGTTGTACTTCGATAGTGGAATTTATAACGAATTTAGTTTCTTTTGAGGTTTTAAAATTTTATTACAGTAATTTTCGTGACAGACTTAATTTCTCATCTCATTTTCAAATTTCCACGTATCTGATTATTGTAAAATATTGATGACCAACTCGACTTGCTGATTACGTCTGTTTATTAATTTACCAATTTAATTTGCTAATTTCCAGAATTTTGCTACTTCATGTATTATTTTTTTTAATTATACGTGTAAAAATCCACAGTCTACATCTGTAATTATTTTCCATAGTTGTACTTCGATAGTGGAATTTATAACGAATTTAGTTTCTTTTGAGGTTTTAAAATTTTATTACAGTAATTTTCGTGACAGACTTAATTTCTCATCTCATTTTCAAATTTCCACGTATCTGATTATTGTAAAATATTGATGACCAACTCGACTTGCTGATTACGTCTGTTTATTAATTTACCAATTTAATTTGCTAATTTCCAGAATTTTGCTACTTCATGTATTATTTTTTTTAATTATACGTGTAAAAATCCACAGTCTACATCTGTAATTATTTTCCATAGTTGTACTTCGATAGTGGAATTTATAACGAATTTAGTTTCTTTTGAGGTTTTAAAATTTTATTACAGTAATTTTCGTGACAGACTTAATTTCTCATCTCCTTTTCAAATTTCCACGTATCTGATTATTATAAAATATTGATGACCAACTCGACTTGCTGATTACGTTTGTTTATTAATTTACCAATTTAATTTGCTAATTTCCAGAATTTTGTTGCTCCATATATTATTTTTTTTAATTATACGTGTAAAAATCCACAGTCTACATCTGTAATTATTTTCCATAGTTGTACTTCGATACTGGAATTTATAACGAATTTAGTTTCTTTTGAGGTTTTAAAATTTTATTATACTAATTTTCGTGGCAGACTTAATTTGTCGTCTTCTTTTCAAATTTCTACGTATCTGATTATTATAAAATATTGATGACCAACTCGACTTGCTAACTGCGTCTACGTTTATTAATTTAATTTGCTAATTTCCAGAATTTTGTTACTCCATTTTTTTTTTTTTTTTTTTTTTTGTGATAAACACGTTTCTTAATTTAAATTTCTATATTTCCACTCCAAGAACATTCACAATGAATCCCTGTAGAATTCAATTTTAGAATTCAAGCTCACGAGTTGAATTTGAAAATTCTTGTGTACAATAAATCGACAGTACAACCATTATAATGGCATTGATGTTCCATGGATTTAGGAACAGTCGTTATAGTGATGTTGTACAGACTTGTTTTCACGTATAAATGGCCGTTATTGTAGCTTTATTGCAGTCTCGTCACTGTATGCAAATATCTATTATAGTAATTTTCTCTAGATGTGAAATGATCATTATAACGATCCTCTGCAGACTTGTTTAAACATACCCGAACAACCATCGTATTATATGCAAGTGAATGATTGGCCTTCTGTTTATTGATTGACACTGGAAATACCAGAGTGGTGAAAATGGCCAATTTATATCTTTCAACGAGAATTTTCTAGATTTACGACAGCACGTTTCTAGAGATTTGAATGATTTTTCTGCAAAATGTATCAACAAAAGCTTGCATAATTTATTATATTGTAAATTTCATTCTATTGCCATTGTTCATTTTTCTGATGTTAATTCTAATTACTCTATTATTAAATGACAAAAAATCAGTAGTTTCTTTAATGGTCTAAGAAACAAATAAATCTCGATATTGAACAATCTTTTGACACTAATTTTATACTCGAATCGTTGATAGCTCTATTAGTAACGAAATAATTCATACTTTTTTCGACAATTTAAGAAACAAACCGGCAGATGACAGAATAAATCGAATAGAATAGAAATTTGAGAATGTAAATCTTCTGACGTTAAAAAATTTTATATTTTACTCGAGAATTCTATTTCACAGAATAATCGATTTTTTTTTTTTAAAGAAGCAAACCTGCTGACATTAGCAAATTTTCTGACGCGAATTTTGTTATTAATTTTAGGCAGCTTCGTCATTAAATAACAGAAAACAGAAATTCTCAATTTTTTCCAGTCATTTGACAAATTTGACAAAGCGTCTGTTCAATAAACAATTGGAATTGAAATTTTAGATAAAGCGACAGGTTCTCCACCGAGGGAACGGCAGTTAGGTTTGCGGTTAGCGAGGGAACGGGTTAATGCATGACGAGTGTCACGATTGGAAGATCCATTAGCTAATTATTAAGGTCGATCTAATTAGAGCGAATTGATTTGAGAATGGGTTCTCTTTGGCCGAACGTTCTCTCTCAGATAGGTTAATTGTCCTTTAAACAATAAAGGGAGGCCACTTGAAAATTCCAAACAGTTTCAGATATTGGATTGGAACTGAATGGGAAGGCATTATATCGTTATATCTCTTTCTCATCGCTCCAAGCCACTGATGCTTCGACGAGAATCAATTTCCATCTGAATGCTAAATAATTTCAGGCAACAGGAATAAAACGTAGAGAACAAGGGACGAGCACAAAGCTGAAATAAACCACGGTCCTCTTTTTTAACACTCGTCATCGTCATTGTACGAACGCTACGTTTTTCGAGCACCCCCTTTACGAACGTTTCTACAGAGATTTTACTTCAAAAAAAAAAAAAAAAAAAAAAAAAAAAAAAATAAAAATAAATATAAAATCAATTAAGTCCCCACTGCCCAAAACATATTAGATTAATAATG